AAATCAAAGAAAAACACTTTGTAATCACAAAATTTGATAATGGAAATAACCTAAGTATTAAATAATAATAAATATGATTACCTTGCACCTAAGAAACAACCACGCTGAGAACTAAAGTGCGTGGACATCATTATTGGGCGAAGACGAGGGATACGTTCTCATGCCCAAACCTACACATATGGACATATGCATTTTTGTTATTAGATATTAGTCTAAATTAGAATTAAAAAATATGAATTTTCAAATAATAAGTAAATAAATGTACCTGAATCAATTGCACACAGCCCTTAGTCCATTGTTCCCCAACCTTGTAGGTTGTGCACAACACTCTATATACTCCGGCCAAGAGCGCTGAACCCCAGTTGTAGCCCTTAATCTCATCGATCTTGATCAACAACTGCAACCAGTAAAGGTTGACTCCATTTGCCCGCTTGTTAGGGAAGAAGAAGGACCCAATGCACCACAATATAAGGGCCCTCGCCCTCTGGTCGTAGACTTCGGTTTATTGTCCATCTGATAGTTGTGTGTTGCATTCCTCTTCTAACCCCAAAATTTTTATAAACTGGCCTTTAATGACCCAAGTTTTGAGTTTGTATGTCGGGTCCTCTTCATTATCCTGGGAGTTGTTTATATATATTAAAAACCAAATAATGGAGTATACATAAACAAAAAAAAAATGCAGGAAAAAATGTACCTGGACATAGGGCTGAAACCCTAGCAAGTCCGAACACCAGTCTCGCCGTTGTTGGAGAGTTAAATCTACAGTCTCTCCCCCAACAAGCAGCTCAACTGGCCGGCAGAACAAACAGAACTTGGACGTCCCGGAGCGTGATCATGGCCTCCCCGAAATCGAAGTGGAAGATATGCGTCTCCGGTCGCCTCCTTTCCACCAGACAGGTAATGAGGCTGTTGCCCGTCTGTACCCGGCCCATTCGAAACAGCGGCCCAAAACCCATCATGTCGATCACCTCCCAAACTTTGGCATGCTGGTTTTGCAAGGCATGCCAGAACTCAGTGTCGTAACGACGGTTTTTAACAGTACCATTACCGTATCCTTCTACATCTTCAAATGCCGCCCTGGAACGGTGGCGGTACTAAAGATATAGAAAGTAGTCATCCATCGGAACGGGGTATACATTGTACCGACGAGGTTGTGAGGACGATGAAGATGCCATTTTCTAAAAAAAAAATAAAAAAAGGAACAATCTCTTCACAATAACATCCAATAATATCCATAAACAAAAAAAAATCACCAATAATATCAAATAACAACATAAAGAAGTCAATAATTATGCAAATAATATCCAATAACAACATAAAGAAAAACACACCCAAATATCGATAAGAAAAAGGCACCAATAATATCCAATAACAACAAATCTCTTCACAAACTACTCACCTAGGCGAATTATAACGAAAACATTATTTCTTACCACATCCTCATTAGAAGTCTTAATATGAAGAAGAAATAATTAGCCAATTATATCCAATAACAATCATTATTAATTCGAATCTTGGTACTAATTCAAATCCCTCAAGAGACTAGTGTTTTGTTATCAAATCTTGGTACTGCTTTAAGTGTTAAACCCTAAGCCCTAATTAGAAAGCCCTAAGCCCTAGACCAAGTCTACTCACACCAATATCAACCGGTCAAATCCCAGGACTCAACCCTGGACAGGCGGTAGAAACCACCAAGATGGAGTACGGTAGGGGCAGAGAGAATTTCCAGTGGAGCGGTGAAATGCGTAGAGATCGGAAAGAACACCAAGAGCGAAAGCACTCTGCTGGGCCGACACTGACACTAAGAGATGAAAGCTATGGGAGCGAATGGGATTAGATACCCCAGTAGTCATAGCTGTAAACGATGGATACTAGGCGCTGTGCATATCCACCCGTCCAATGTTGTAGCTAACGCGTTAAGTATCCCGCCTGGGGAGCCCATTTCAGTACTCAGGGAGGGTTGATAACTGTAGAAATGAAAGAAAAAAGTGAAAAAGGAATGAGATCATAATAAGATCCTATTCTCAAGGGGATATGGCAAAATTGGTAGACACTACGGACTTAATTGAATTGAGCCTTGGAATGGAAACCTACTAAGTAATAACTTTCAAATTTAGAGAAACCCCGGAATTACGAAAAATGGGCAATCCAGAGCCAAATCCAGTTTTTTCAAAACCAAGATTCAGAAAACGAAAAAAGAATAGGTGCAGAGACTCAATTGCCCTTGGGAGGGGAACAACAGCTGGAAACGAATGCTAATACCCTGTAGGCTGAGGAGCAAAAGGAGGAATCCGCCCGAGAAGGGGCTTGCGTCTGACTAACTAGTTGGTGAGGCAATAGCTTACCAAGGCCATGATCAGTAGCTGGTCCGAGAGGATGATCAGCTACACTGGGACTGAGACACGACCCAAACTCCTACGGGAGGCAGCAGTGGGGAATTTTCCGCAAGCACAAGTTTTCTTTTCATTGCAGGAAAGCTTTCAAATAAGATACACAACAACATGAATTTTATACAAAGCACATGAGAAAGCTAGATTACAAATATTTTACCAATCTAATCCATTTTAAATAAATAATCCATCCCCTAAATGTGGGACACCCTAGCCCTAATTTATTAAATATTGCTATCAAAACCCTAAGTCCTAATTTGAAATTATAGAAAAATTGAAGCCCTAATAGAAGAAATGTACCTAATAGATGGGAAGGAGGTCCGGAGGCGATGCGGCGGCGGTCCGGCGGTGAAATTTTCTGAAGGGCGAAGCTTCTTTTTCTTTCTCTCTCGGTCGCTGCTCTCGTCTCTCTCTGTGTTGTTTGCGTGTGGTTTCTGTTCGCGTAAGAAAGAAGAAGAAATGTTTTTTTTATATTTAATTGTACAACGTATTTTGAGAATACATTTTACACTTAATTATTTGTAAAACGTACACTTAATTATTTGTAAAAACATTTTAAAAATAATTAAGTGTACGTTTTACAAACAATTAAGTGTAAAACGTATTCTGAAAATACATTTTACATATAAAAAAAATATGGAAGGTTGGCCTTGAGGGGAATCGAACCCGGATGTGGGCGTTTTAAACCCTCAAGTCTGCCTTCACTACCATCCTGCCGCTAGACGATCACGTTTATTTATTTGAAAATTATATACTCACTACAAAAAAGTGGCTTTATGTAACTCCAATAAATTGTTACTTAATCTTCAAAACGTGTTACAATAAGTCATAGGTAGCATTTTAATAGGGGCTACAGTTGCCCTTGCTACATATTGTTTTATGTAACAATATTGTAGAATTAGGTAACACTTATTATAAATGTTACATTAAATCATCTATTGTAGCACTAACTAGTATCATTTTCTGAATGTTACATATAACCCTTAACTAACACATTTTATCAAATATGTATCAATTTTTTGTAACATCTTTTTACTTATAGTATCATTTAATAAATCAATTGTATCAGTTTAATCAATCAAATGTAGCTTTTCATTTTGTAACACTACCCAGAATCAATTTACATATGCTACATATAACTCTCATGCAACATTATACCAACAATATGTATCAATTTCTTGTAACACTCCTTCATTTATGGTAACATTTTTATCATTGAACCATTTCACTTTAATCGATCTGACGTAACTCTTTTCCAAATGATTATGTAGCACATTTAATCATTATATATATATAAATATATATCATGATGATTTGTCATTTGCTTACAATTAGGACAAAAATAAAAAAAAAAAAAAAAAATCGTTGTGCAATAAGAAAAGTAAAACAAATATTATAAATAAAGTTGAAATAGTTCCCATGTCAATGTAAAACAATATAACATGAAAGAGAATAATGAAAACTTCTATTCAAAGGGCGGACAATAAAAAACAAACACCTACTACTACTAAAGAGAGAACATTGGGTTCGCATTGGTTTTTTTCTCTCTTATATATGTCACTTCTCGACACGGTCACCATGGCTATGATCATCACCATCATCATTTGCTTCACTCCCTCCATCTTCATTTCCCTCGTCCTAAAATTAATCAAACCACCATAAGCAATTAAGAACACATATTTAATCAAACCACCATAAGCAACCTAGAATACCTACAATGGTACCAAACAATCTAAAACATTATTCAACTACTAAAAACAAAATAAGTAAGCAAAAAAATGAGCAACACATTCCAGTAACACCGCTTTCGCATAAATTCATATAAAGCATGGACAAAAACTCAATCCATATAAACTCATAAAAATTCATACAATTCCAGTAACACAGTAACAACTTGCACCTCCACTTCTAGGCAAAACACACATACACACATGAAGAATAATAACTAATTCATATCATATCATAAATAACAAATAAATAATCGGCAAAACACCTTAACACTTTCACATTCAAGTTTAAACAACAAATTATAAAGAAACATGATTACAACACACGGTTTTATGTCAAAAACAAATTATAAGAAAAGATATCATGAAAGCATTGGTAATATAGGCATTAGAAAAGAAAATATACAACAAAAGAAGAAATAGTTGACCTTTTCAAGATAAAACTTTCAAACCTAATATAATATACGCAACATGTATAAGTTCTTTTCATTACTAGTAAAAATTCTAGCGCACATTACAAATACCTGAGGAAGTTCAGCATTGTTGATATCTCCAGACGATTGCTCCCTTATGAGATGTTTTGCTAATTCTTGAACGCTCAATGAATTCTCAATAGGGAGATGTTCAAAACCTTTTAAAACACCCGCTAATGTTTCTTTCGCAATCGCATCTTTAAATGGGTTCAAAAATTCTTCAGGAATCAGAACATCCGACTTGGAAAGCCTCTTCACTCTCTTGCTACACCTACCGAGAAGTCCATTGCTAATAGAGTCGGAAAATTCCTGCATATAGATAAATAGAAACTTGAATGAATCAAACAATCATAACAAACTATTTTTGGTAATGACAAGTGAATATAATACAACTTACATACATCATTTATTTAAGGCGTCTTGTACTTTCTACCAGAAGTTCTCTTATGTGTCTCCGTATACATCAATTCCAGAGAAGGTTGTTTCCCATCAACTAGTTTCTGTAACCATATAAGAAAAAAAAAGAAAAAAAAAAGAAAAAGAAACACAGAAATAAGTTTTCATTACTACAACACATTATATCTAAAATCAACACTTGCGATGCAAGTGTATGTGGCTATATGAATATATCTTACATTTTCGTCACTAATTCATTTATTTTCTCTCATTTATAATATTAAATACAAAAATAGATCTCATAAAGAGTTCCGTAAACAATTAACATAAATGGTTATAATAGTTACCAACTCATGACGCTTTCTTGCAAACGCAACGGGGCCCATAGTGTGTCTATTTTTCTGACTTTGGGAGGCTGCTTTTCTCTTTTCAGATATCATCTACATATACAACTTACTTTAACATATAATTTCAATGAATCAAGCAATGCATTTCACTAGTAATCTTATAAAGAGTTGAAGGAAATGGACATCAACTGAATATTCATACAAAATTATAAACACACACACAAACAAACACTACGCGACAGAAGAACACATGTATTCTTAATGAGAAGTATACAGCTAATGAATTCAAAAGTTTCAACCCCTGTTTATACAAATAGGTAGAGATCCATAAAAAATCATACATATAGAAGCAGACATAGTCATATTTGAAACCTAGATCCATCCGACTCAACTTGTGATATTCAAATTGTGATTGGGACACAAGATAAGATTGAATGAAGTAGAAATTTATCTACTGAGATTTGTTAGAAGTACTGATTGTAAGACTTTCATAAAGTGATTTTGGATCTTAGAAGGCTAAAACTGATATAAGGATTAATGCATGATACACGAAATATCTGTTGCCTTTGACTAAGGCAACACCACTAAACTATTCCTGAATGTGTTGAGGAATTATATATGTTATTCTTAACATTTTAATCACTAATGTCAAGCCTAACTATGTCCTAGATGGATTAATCCTCTAACAAAGGTAAACTATTAACCAAAATATTCTCTCTTTCAATTTGTTTTTTTAGTTTATTTTTAAGAGCAACTCTTTTCATGCTTGGGTTGGATAAGCTCCAAGTACTATAATGTAATAACTTTATGTGAATTGGCCTTTAAACTTAACAACTTGCTAGGAATCCGTCGACTAGATTTATATCCCTTTGAACCCACTTTGTGGAATATTGCACTATTATATGAAAACAAAAATAACACTGCCTCCCTCCCGACATGATGACTATTTTTATTGTTCCACAAAGTTTGTTTGTTTTCTTTAGATTGAGTAAATAAGCAACAAACTCCTTTTTACATTGTTATCGGCAAAATCCCTCCCTATATATTAATTTAGAACGTACCTCGCTCTTTTTAGTATTCCCTTTCCGGCAGAACTACAACAACAGGAAGAATGGCTGGATGCTAGAACGTGTTGAAAGAAAAATGAGAGATCACGAAATTTTACCTGAACCTCCTCTAGATCCCAATATTTTAGCAAATCCTTCAGATGAGAATCAGGAATCGATTTGTTTTCACCATTTGTATCTTGGGAGGTAGAATTGTAGTAATATTTCTTTTTAACTCTGGATTTGTGAGTACGCCATAAAGCTCCAATGGATTCCAACACATATGTCTTGCCTTCCTCTGCTATGATGAACTTTTTCTGCAATATTAATAAGAAATTACTAGCATAAAATAAATAACATATATTGAAGGGTTCACAAACGAATTAAATGAAAGTAGTGATAAATGTTAACTAAATGGGATAATGTAGTGAAGATAGTTATTCTGTAAAAATTCTTAAAGAACTAAATACCTTGACATATTCCCAAATCTTGTCTTTATCGCGAATGTGAGTCCAATTAATTTCATTTAAGGGTGCAAGATTTGAATCACGAGCTAATGATCCCAAAAAACGACTAAATTTATCCAAAGTTGCCTTATCTGGGCCAATTGGTTGACACAATTCATTCAAAATGATAGGCAAACGATTGTCAAGAGTGCGGTCGTGGATATCTTTGCACAAACTTGGTCCCCTTGTTCGTTTCTTTTTTAGTGTAACTGTAAATTTAACAACAAAAACAAATATAAATAATATATTATATGTCGACATGGTATTCCATCAATTAGAATGCCAAGTCTATCCCAAAAGAGTAAATTAAAAAATCAAGAAACGTATATTGAATGTACAGACAATCAAAACAAGCTAATCTTACCTGGTAGAGTTTGTGGTTCTTGGTCAGAAAATGGCTCGTTTACAATCTCCACAACATCATTTTCGATTTTTTGGATTCATATCATCTTCTCCTTCTCTTTCAGAAACATATTCATGTAAGCTTTCATAAGCTTCATTTTCTTCAACTAAACCTACTCCAATACCGCCTACATCATCAAACAAATGGCCTTTCCTTATTGAAACATTCTCAGTGATTGTTTGCGGTTCATTTTCTGCCGTTGAGCTTTTCCTCATCCTAACATAAGCACTAAGTGAGCCAGGCGAGACCAACACTTTGCTTTGTGCAGTCTTCTTGGACGAGGTGTTGCTTATAATATCTTTGCCTTGCAGTTTACTGTGTACCACTGCTTTCATTTGGTGACATTTAGTCGGTCTGGATAATCTTTCAGTCCATTTAACTTGTTTAGGGTGCTCCTTTTAATCAGTGGTGTCTCGTTGAACTATTTCTAATGAATTCATTTCTTTCTCGTCGCCATCTTTCCTGAGCTTTTCTTGCACTCCGAGAGTTTGACGGTGCATGTTCAGTAAACTCGCCATTGAGGAGTGCGGTTTCTCTAACCCTTTACCAGAACTTCCTTTTACTGCCACCACCTGGAACATAGTGTCATTGCTAATGATTTAGTAAAAAATCAATAAATTTACAAAAATATGTATGTTAAAAAAATAGTAAGAAAATTACATCTTGTCGCTATTAATAAACTAGAAAAGAATTACTTAATTTACTACAATATGTGTCAAAACAATAATAAAACAGAAATATACAACCTTCTTTGAACGAGAGCTCAATCTTCTCCTATGATATGCATCATTCTCGTTACTTGACTTTTCTGGTTCGTGTTCCTCTTCATCAGGGACGTACTCATCATCATTTGCTACATCATCCTTAGAAATAACTTTGCTTATCTCCCTCCGTTTCTGGTTCTTTCTTGAACAGGTTACCTCATAAGCAAGATTCTTTATCCATAACTCTTCCATTCTTCTTTGATTTTCAGCCATTCGTTTCAACCATTGCATCTCATATTCTGACATCTTCGACATCTTAAACTGCAATATATTTTAAAAAAGTGAGCAACTTAACGTTTGGTTGATTTAATAACATTGCAAACATCACCATCTTTTGAGCTTAATAACATTGCATTGAATCACATATGATCCTACAAATACTGATCCCTACTCTCCAACATCAACAATAAGTTTTGAAAATGGAGGACAGTGTGGGAAAAATGACCAAGGAAAATTACAAAGCCAATTACCTAAAATACTTTATTTTCTGAAATTTTGTATGGAAATTAAGAGAAAAGCACGAAAAACAATATCCTATCATTCAAGAAAACACATGCTGCTGTCAATGCTAATATTTCCCAATTATCCCTTTCTCTGGGCTCATCTTTTCAGCAAGACATGGACTCTTTGTTGGTGTAAACACAATCATTTTTATCAAGAGATAGTACGAGATTATGCATTCAGCTTTTTCACCTCATCAAACACCACTACAAAAAAACATACACTTGAACAAAAAAGACCCAAAATTTGGGCTGTTAAATCAATAAGTGTTGCAGTACTATACTCCATTAGTATTTGCACCAAACAAAATTCACTCATGAAACAAAAAAATTCAATCGTACCAAACAAAAGCCAGACTCATGAAAAAAAAAAATTGCAAACATCGTAAAACTAGAAAAGATTGGTATTTTGTATAATGATCGAATTCTTACTCCAATGTACATATGAAAATAATGAAAATAGGCATCATAAGGGCACAAATAAGAAAACAAATCTAAAATAAATTATATCCATAGAAGATAAGTAGCAGTTCAATAGAATTTGTTATCATTCTTAATTACTGGAATTCCATAAAATTTACTGAAAGCATAAGCAAATTCGTAGAGATTGAGATACCCTTTTTGGTCATTCCGACTCTCAAATGGATTCCTTCCAAAATATAACTGCCACGAATTGAAATAGGGATATATTGGGAGAGAATTTACCGCCAATATTTTTTCTAAGCGAGCGGGATTTTCCATCAGTTTTGGGAAGATTTCACAAAATTTAGGGTGAACAAACAGGAAAGCTGGGGTAGTGGTGAGTGGTAGTGGCGTGAAAATGGACTCCATTTTAGTGTTTGGGATGTGAAAAGGCAAATTAATTTAATATCTTCTAAAAATGTTATCTATATAAACTATAAACTAAAGTCCTAAATAGACTCATTTCTAAAATTAATTTGGGTGACAAAACCAAATAACAATCTCATCGTTCTAAGTGATAAAGGCCTAAATGGACTAATTTAGGTGATAAAATTAATTTTCAATCTAAAATTAATTTGGGTGATGAAGACAAATGAATCCATTTTCTTTTAAAAATGCTATCTATATAAACTATAAAGTAAAAGGCTTAAACGGACTAATTTAGGTGATAGAATTAATTTTCAATCTAAAATTAATTTGGGTGATAAAACTAAATGATTATGCTCTCATTTGGAGTCCTTTCGGGACAAACAGAGCGGGACCGTCACCCGCTCCGAGGAGGGCAGGTTCAAGGTAAGTTTCCCTGAGCCCACTGTTATTTCCCTAGCTGGGTCGATGGATAATGCTCTCATTTTAAAGTTTTCCTTCACTGTCCCTTCCCTTCGGGATTTATCTGTCGGTTTGGTCAAGTTGGGTTTCAAGGGTAGAGTGACCCCTAAGTTTCTGAATTATAATCATTATTTACTCCTCTTTGAGTTGAAAGAAGACTACAATTTGGTCTGGATTAAGACGCATCTTAATATCTTTGGATGTGCTGGTCGGGTGTTTAAATACACCCCGGATTTCTCCTTCGTCGAGGAATCTCTCATAGTCCCGGTGTGGTGCTGCTTCCCGGGCCTCTTACCACACCTTTTCGACCCTTCTGCCCTCTTTTCGATTGCCAGTTGCATTGGCAACCCCATTGAGACTGATGCCGCTACGGCAAACCGCTCGAGGTTATCCGTCACACGGGTGTGCGTAGAGGTTGATCTTAGGGATGAGCTCGTCAAGGAAATTGAGCTCGACCAAGCGGGCAAGACCACTATCCAGAAAGTGGTCTATGAGAGAGTTCCACCGTTCTGCTCCCTATGTAGTCACGTAGGACATGGGGCTGCAGAATGCTATACTAAGGGCAATAAGCCCCGACCTGCTCTACCCCCCCGTCGACGTGTAGCCAGGCAGGGTTCTACTATTGCCCCGACGAGCCCTAAGGAGAAGGGCAAGGCCTCGGCCCACGGTCCCGACCCGAAGGGGCAAAAGGGCAAGGGCAAGGTCACCTCTGAGGGCACTCTGCCTAAGGAGGTTAACCTCGATACGCCTAAGGCCAAAGCTACAGGCCTTTTCCCCCACCAGTCCCTACAGTCAGCCCCCATAGCTACCCATTCCCGCTTCACTGTGCTTGACTCGGAGTCGGAGGAGGAGTTTCACATTCCCTCCGACCATCTGGGAGCATCGACCAGCTCCCCGTTTGACGATGACGACCTATTAGTGGATGAGACAGAGTCTCCTGACATCCCTTTATGCATCGAGGCCCCCCCTTCCTCCTCAAATCTCATGATCGTAGAGCCCTCCCTCCACCTTACCTCACACCATTGCCCATCAGCTCGACCCCTTCTCGCCCTCCCTTCCTCTTCCCCCTCATCCCCCGCTAGTGGGTCTGGTCCCCCTTCCCCACAGCGCCAGTCACTGAGCTCTGAGGGATTGGAGCACCTACAACTCGTCCTCTTACCCCAGGATTTTTCCCCTATA